CAGGGAGGGCCCTTCACTCATCCCCTGCTGAGGCTCAGTGAGACCATGGAACCACAGGCTAGGAATTCAGAGGTCGGAGTCAGACACCTGTGCTTCAAGTTTCAGCTCCGACTCTGTTCCACCCTGAGCAAGATACTGCACCATCTGAATCTCCGTGTTGTCATCTGCAATTGGGAATACAAATCATATCTACTGCTCAGAGTCGCCGGGCGGATTAAGGCAGAATAAAGAAATGCACTTGGCACACACATGCTAGGGGCTGGACAGATACAAGCTATTGTATCGATGAACATGAAGTGCCAGGCATTGCGGCCGCTACTGACAGGCAATTGTAGCAAGAGGACCCCATTTGAGATCCTTGTGTCGAAGGGTTTCCCTCTCACTAGTCTTTCCCACACTTTCAGCTCAGTTTTCCTAAAAATAACAACACTTGCTTTTCTCCCCTGTGTTTCATCAATAAAGGACATGAATTAAACTCCCTGATTACAATGACAAATACGAGTGGCATAAGCAGGCGTGGGAACTTCTGAGGCCGGGAAACAACTCAACCAGGGAACAAGGTGAACGGGCGAACGGGAGCAGTGACCATTGTAAAATCACTGTGGTGAGCTGTCACCAGCCTTTTCAACAACAAAATAGGTAAAATATCAAAGGACAGCACACATAGTCAAGTATTGTTTCAGGAAAAGTTTGTTTCAGTTGCATGTGTGTGTGTGAGCTACATGGTCCCCTTGAACATGATGTTCCCTGGGCAAGAAGATACACACACACTCAAACACACACATTCTTTGCTTGGTTGACTCATTCTCTGGGTCTTAGCTTTAAATGACATATTTTGTCATAATTTTGTTTGATTAATTGATTGTTGATAAATTGATTCATTAATGTCCATCACACCCCAAACACTAGATTTGAGCTCCATTAAGATAAGAATGCATCTGTTTCATTGACTTCGTGGCTCTTTATATATATACACACTAGAGGCCTGGTGCACGAAATTCATGCACAGGGGATAGGGGGGAGTCCCTCAGCCTGGCCTGCACCCTCTCCAATCTGGGACCCCTCGGGGGATGGCCGACTGCCAGACATCTCTCTCACAATCCAGGACTGCTGGCTCCTAACTGCTCGCCTGCCTGCCGATCTGATCACTCCCAACTGCCCTCCCCTGCCGGCCTGATCGCCCCCTAACTGCTTGCTCTCCCACCGGCCTGATTGCCCCTAACTGCTTGCTCCCCTGTCAGCCTGATTGACCCTAACCGCCTCTGCCTTGGCCCCCACCGCTGTGGCTTTGTCCAGAAGGAAGTCAGATGTCCAGAAGATGTCGGTCAATCCAGTCTAATTAGCATATTACCTTTTATTAGTATAGACTCGAGGCCCAATCCATGAAATTCGTGCAAAAATAGGCCTTCCTTCCCCCAGCTGCCAGCACCCGCTTCCCTCTGGCACCCAGGATCCAAGCTTCCCTCCAGCACCCGGGACCCAGGCTTCCCTCCGGCCACCAGCAGGCACCCGGGACCCGGGCTTCCCTTGCAGCCCTGGCTTCGTCCAGAAGGTCATCTGGAAGGATGTCCGGAAGGACGTCTGGTCTGATCAGCATGTTACGCTTTTATTACTATAGTTTTGGGTTTTTCTTACTTTTTTAAATTGATTTTTAGAGAGAGGAAGGTGTTGAGGTCCAACCCCAGCAGGTCCAGGGGTCCCCAAAGGTGTGGATGGAGTCGGCGAAGAAGGAATGACACGGAGACAGCCTTCAGTTGATCAGCAGCCTAGTCAGGACCTCTAGCCAGGATCTCCAGCCAAAGTTCTGGTCGGGATCTCCAGTGAAGTTCTGGTTAGGATCTGATGTCTATTGTCTTGTTACATCTGTATTTATACCAGTCGATTTTAATCCTATCAATTTCTATTGCAAAGGTTAGGGCGTTTCTTATCTCCATTCCAGGGAGTAAAGATTATGTAGCTTAAGCGTGATTGTTCGTAGTTAAAGTGATTAACTACCCGCCGGGCACTTAGTTAAGGGGTTGTATCTCCTCCCTAACCTCAGGGAAAAATCCCCACTTGGGGAAACAACCTTTCTCGGAGAGGTGACCTTGGTTAAAACACATGGCGCTAAGGAGAGCAAACATATTAAGAACAATATGCTATATATGCCAGGTCCCTTGAAACATATGCTGTGCAGATGTTTCTTTCCTGCAGCGACTGTGTCAAGCAGCAAGGATGGACCGGCTTCCAGCAGGAAGGGAGAGGAAGAGAGGGAGAAACATCGATATGAAAGCAGAACATTGATTGACTGTCTCCTGCACGCCACCTACCAGGAATCGAGCCTACAACCTGGGCATGTGTTCTGACCTGGAATCAAACCAGCAACCTTTCAGTGCCTAGAAAAACGCCCAACCAACTGAGCCACACCGGCCAGGGTGGTGGCCTTTTTATTAGCACAGTGTTTAATCTCTCAGACACCAGTAGGTGTTTGGAAAGACATGAGAAAGGGGACTTGGGGACGGAGGGTGGGCTGGGAGACACAGGGTGATGTTTGTTGGGGTGGTGGTTTAAGGTGCCTGCAGTGCCCAGGAGTCGGTATCCAGGAGGTGGTGGATATTCCTGTCTGGGAGAGGTGCAGGCTGAGAAGAGGCAGTGTGGTGTGCTGGTGAGGCACAGGGACCCTGGTCCCTGACCGGCAGAGCTTGTATCCTTGTCCCTGCTACGTACTAACTGAGGGAAATCAATCCGGAACCAACCTAACCTCTCTCTGTACCTGAGTCTCCTCATCTAGTCACAGGCTGCAAGGAGGGTCAAATGGCTCATAGTATAAAGTGCTTGGAACACAGGTACTTCGTGCAGAGTAAGTGCCCCATATGTGTTCATGGTTCTCACCATTCCATTGGGGGGGGGGGGGAGGGGCGGCTTGATAACTGAGGCCGGAGAAGTGGGTGTGATCACCCAGAGATGAAGATGAGGCTGAGGACAGAGCTTCAGGGAGCCCACCAGCAAGGGAGTGGCCACAGGGGTGAGGAGTGGGAGGGAGACCCGATGAAGATGGCAGCTAGGAACCCCAGGGGTGGCGTGGCCAGTGCGGCTTTGAGGTCCCCTGTAAAGGGAGGGAGGAAGGGAGGACGGAGGGCTTTCTAAATGCCATATTTTAGCTGGTTTGGATGCTAAGGGCAGGGAGGGGGGCATTCAACCGGAGAGAGGGACGGGGTCAGTGAGCCGGGTGCAGGGGTGCTTAGCCGGCGGCGGAGCGGAGGTGCACTCCCATCTGTCCCCTTTCCAGGACGGGTTTTAGGGGCAGGATGTGGATGGCGAGTACGGGGAACACAGAAGCGCAGCGCTTTGTCTCGGGGCAGCAGAGGGTCCGGAGGGAAGTTTGAAACCAAACCTCCCGGGGAACTCTTTGTGACAAAACCCCTGGACCCTCCTGGCGGAGCGGGAGAGGAGCCTGGGAGCCGGGCCCGCCTCCGCCCCGCCCAGTAAGACCAGCCCGAGCCTCGGTAGTTGGAGGAGGGGCCGGGCCCGGGGCCTGGGCGGGACCTGCGGACACAAAGGGGCCGATTCACGCGGCGCCCAGCCCGCGGGGGTCCCGAGCATGAATGGGGACGACCCGGCAAATCTGAGAGCCGGGCTCACGGCCGCGAGAGCAAAGAGCCAATAGGATCCCCGGCGCGACAGCGAGGCGGGGACGGGGCCAATCAGCTGCGAGGACGGGCAGGGGGCGGATCCGCGCCGAGTTTCAAATCGGCCGGGGTGGGCGAGGTGCATCTGTGCTCCGCATCTCGCAGGCGTGGGAGCTTTGGGGTGAGTGTAGGCCCGGGCGTAGTGGGGCCTCTGTTCAGAAGAGACCAGAGGCGATGGAGTGAGGGGGTGTCTAGTTAGGACAGGCATGCATGTGGGCATCTGGGGGTGGCAGGGTGGAAATCGGGGGCTCTGGCCAGGCGTCCAGGGTCTGGGTGGGAGCTCGCTGGGTCAGGGCGGGTTGTGGGAGGCGCTGATCCGGCGCTGGGCCCCTTGCTGAGGCTCAAGGAGGGCCGCTCCCGACCCTGCCTCCCTCCCCGCCTGAGGCTGGGATGAAAAAACAGCTGTTTTAGACACACCAAGGGACCGCAGGAAATGCTGACCAGCCTTGTTCAGCCTCTGCCCTCTCCCGGGCATCGCTGACCACACCCTCTCCTTCAGGAAGCATTCTCCTCCCGCACCCACGGTTGCTCCCAGCCTGAGCCATCCACCCACCCCATGGGCCTCCATCCCATCTCTTCCCTGGTACCCAGGTCTCTGTGGAGCCTGGGGATGGGATGGAGGATGCCTTGCTGACCTGCCTTTTGACCTCTTCCCAGGGTCTGGTGAACAGAACAGACCGATGGCCTCTCGGTGGCCCGGCGTGAGCACGTCCATGCGCAGGAGATCTCTCCAGGACCACCAGCAGCTGGAGGAGAGCGATGAGCTGCCGCCTGCAGCTGGCCATCTGGAGGCCTCCGGCGGAGCCCTGGGCTCCCTCTGCAGACAGTTCCAAAGGAGGCTGCCCCTGAGAGCAGTCAGCCTCAACCTAGGGGCGGGCCCCTCCTGGAAACGCCTGGAAACCCCAGAGCCAGAGCAGCAGGGCCTCCAGGCTGCAGCTCGCTCAGCTAAGAACGCCTTGGGTGCCGTGTCCCAGGTAATGCTGACCAGGTCCAGGTCAACGGCTGCCCTAAGGAACCCCCGAGAACATAGACTCCATGAAGACAAGGACTTTGATTTGTTCGTTGCTGTGTTCCCAGCACCCCAAACAGTTCCTGGCACATAGTAGGTGCTCAACAAATAGTTGAGTGAGGGAATGAAAACAGTGTCATGGGGAAAACATCCTCACTCTACAAGATAATAGAGCTGTATTGTGATGGAAACTGTAAGCCAGCTAATGATGGGAGGACACCAAAAACTAGCTTAGTCAGTGAAGGCTTCCCAGGTGAGGTGATTCCATGGAATTCACCCAGGAAAGGGGAAGAATGAGGAGCATGTGACAGGGGAAGTAGTGTGAGCCCAGACCCAGAGAGCAAGGTGGGGCAGTGAGAGGGGGCTCAGTGTGCCAAGGGTGTTTGGGCACTCCCAAGAGAGACGGGTGGTCTTGGGAACCAGTGGGAAGAATTTACAGCAGGGTGGGCACCAAGTCTAATTAGCATACTAGCACCTGTTCTTTAGCTAGTTGGTGAGTTAGATAGAAGGGGGTTAGAAGCAGATTCTCCCACGAGGGGGCCTAGCCTTGCAGAGGAGTGAACAGCCTCAAGAGCTGCTCAGAAGGTGGATTTGGGGGGCTGAGGTGTCAGATGAGATGTGTGGGCACGAAGATGTCCCTTATGTTGGGTGTGAGGTGCCTGTGCACCTTCCAAGTGGATGTGTCTTCAAACCTAGAGTCGGAGAGGCATGGAGGTGTCACCTAGAAAGGACAGAGGCCATGGGAGTGAATAGACCTCCAAGGGGAGAACTGGGGGCGGGAGGGAGCTCTCCTTAGTATCTGACTGGGGATCTGAAGATATGGGACAAGGAAGATGTTTTGGGGACCCTTTGTAGAGAGGTGTCTGAGCCAAATGTTAGTCCTTGTCTAGAAGAACCCCATGATTGTTTCATGCCCAGGGATCGGGGATGAAACCAGGCAGCCTGCCCAAGGGCACATAACTTACCTAACGTAACGCGGGTCTTGCTCTAAGGACTCTGGACTCTGGTTTCCTCTCGCTGAGGAAGAGCCTTCACAGCCGTCCCCCAGTGGAGTGAAAGGCCCGAGAGTTAGGGCTTGGCCCTGTGGGTGATGAGCAGCCGTTGGGGGGCACTGAGCAGTGCAGTGTCATGACCAGAACTGCCCTTGAGAGGGATCTCTGCATCAGTGTGGGGGGTGGAACAGAGTACGACCAGAAGCAGGGGGACAAATGATCTCACAGTGTCCTGGGGGTCAGGCTTTGCTCTTGAGTCTCCGGGTCAGTCTGTGTTCGAAAGAGGGCTTGGTCTTAGGCGCCTGGAGGCTCTGTGAGCCAGAGTGGTTCTGCTGCAGACCAGTCATACCTGGGGCTCTGAGCTGGGTCCCTGCAGTGGCATCACCCATATCCCTCACGCTTGAGACAAAGCTGCTTGTGTGCGTAGGACGGCTGGTAGGTGGAGGGGTCAGGTATGGCTTGGAGACTAGGGTGGCCCTTAGCTTGTCTGTGCTCACACTTCCATGTACCCATCAGAGAATCCAGGAGTCCTGCCAAAGTGGCACCAAGTGGCTGGTGGAAACCCAGGTGAAAGCCAGGAGGAGGAAGAGAGAGACACAGAAGGGCGGTAGCCCCCCAGCTCGCAGCCTGAGCCAGAGGAGCACCCGGCTTTCTGGAACCGGCCCTGCCTGCTCAACTCTGGGCCCCTGGGGGTGGGAGCGTCACCGCCGCTCCACCCAGATGGGCCCACGTGCCCACCCTCTGCGGAGGTCCAGGAGGGAGGCCGCCTTCCGGAGCCCCTACTCCTCTACAGAGCCCCTCTGCTCCCCCAGGTAAGTGGAAGAGTGCCTGGCCCCCAAAACACTAAGGGCCCCTCTGGGGGCTCCCTGAGCTGAGTCACATCCGTGTTCTGGCCAGCTCTGCACCCCACTAGCAGGGACCTGGGGAAGTCTTCAAGGCCTTAGTTCCTCATCTATAAAAGGAAGGGGAGAGCTCAGCTCTGCCTGTATCACACTCCCAAGCCTCCTAGTGAGCCTACAAGCCAGTTTTAACACTCCGGTGTGGGGTGAATTTCCCGCCAAAATATAAGATGGCTCTGTCTTTTGGTTTTGTTCCATGCACCAAAAGGGTGGATTACAAACAAATATTTGGTAATACGCAGTTACAATCGGCCCGAGTTTACACGTTTCCCGCACTCCACCGAAAATCTATATGAACCGAGTTAAAGACGGCTCCCGCGGAGTACGCGCAATTCACGCGAGCCGACTTAACTCGTTTCCCCCACTCCAAGTGTTAAAACCACCTGGAGACTGAGACTCAAGTGGGAAAGAGCAGGGCTCACCTTTCTGCAAGATCTCCTGCCCTTGGCCTTGACCCCATGAGCCTTGATCCATCTGTTCTCTGCCAGCTGCTCCAAGGTGCTCTGATGTCACTTCCTGGAGTGAGGGTCTGGGTGATGACCCCAGGCTGCAGTGCTGGTTGGGGGGGCAGGAAGGAGGCACCTGCCACAGGTTTCCAACTAGTCCCTGGTGCCGTGGCCTTTCCTTCTGTTCAGTGAATCCGACAGTGACCTGGAGCCCGTGGGGGCAGGAATCCAGCACCTCCAGAAGCTGTCCCAGGAGCTGGACGAGGCCATTGCGGCTGAAGAGAGGTAAGCTGGCAGCCATCCTCCCAAGCAAAGTGGCTGGCAGGGTCCCCCTTTTTAGGCAGGCCTCTGGTTCTGGCTCTGGCCACTGTATGACCCTGGCCAGTCCCTCCCCTTCTCAGCCTCAGTCTCTGCAACATGAGGGGACATAAAAGACCTAGATTGGGGCGGCAGTTAAGGATGCATCCTGGAGATTCATGACTTTCTGGGCCTCAGGCCAGCACACGTGTCCATCACCTGGAACTTCCCCAGGCTCCTGAAGACCTGCCCTGCCTCCAGCATTCCCCACGGCTCCCTTATGCCCTGCCCACCCATGGAATTGGGAGAAGCTGTGTGGCTGCTTGGAGTTCCTGGTGTGTCTGCTCAGGACCCCATTCTGAGGGCAGAGCCCAGGGTCTGGAGCTGCCCTAACTTGGGGCCATTTGTGCCTACATGGCCGTGATAGGCTCGTAGGTGGCCCTGCGAGCTTTGACTATATGCCGAGTGTGCCAAGTTCCCACCATGTTGCCGGGTCTGGTCTTGCCTAGTCCAGGCTGGGAGGGCCCTCGGAGCCTGCCGCACCCAATGGCCTGTCTCTCCTGCTTCCCCATCTCTAGCGCTGACATGGCCGTTTCTCTCCTTCGAGACTGACGGAGTGCCCTTCAGGGAATGCCCTCCTCCCGAGCATCTTTCCTCCCAAGCATCTTTCCCAGCGTCCTCTTCCTCCTCTCCTCCTCCTCCTCCTCCTACATGAGCGCGTGTGCAGATTTGGAGGCGCGTTAAAGAACTGAGTCTCCTGGAGAAACCCACAGAGCTGACGCCCAGCAGAGTGGGCAGCGTGCCATCTTCCTACCAGCTCGGACCTGAGCTGCTGACCTCTCTCACCCACCACCTTCCAGCTCCTCATTCTGGGGGAAGGCTCTGGTGTCCTCACTCCCCCCTCCCCCCTGAAGCACAATGAGGGGCAAGAAGAGAGCTCCTTCTTGCAGGAAGTGAGCCATACCTGACCCCACACCCCCACACGTGGGATCCATACCTCCGCACCCTTGAGTTCCTGGAGGAAGCCCCCAGGAGCTGGCAGTGCCCCTGGGCCACTGCTGACAAGGACCTGACAAGCAGAGGCCCAGGTGGGGGCTGGTCAGGGGCCTCTGCTCTCCTGCTCGGACCACATCTGAGCCCCGCAGAGACCGCCTGCCGCAGCCCAGGAGGTGACTCCCCGCAGACCCGGCTCCTGGGTGCACAGCTCCCATGCCTGCCCCAAAATAAGGGATGGGAGAGATATCCAGGCTCTGAGACCCGGGGCCTACGGGTACCCATTTATGTTCTCAGCACCGGGCACTGTGGGTGGCAGCGAGGAGTAGCACTGCTCAGCAATTTCTGCCCTTTGTAAATTATTTAAGAAATCTGCCTTGTCATTTTATTAGAAAGAAATCAGGGCATAACTTCCCTCCATAATGTTGCTTTTCCATAATAAGACTGACAGATTGAGGGAGTCTCAGAGGGAAGGGTGGGGGTGGGAGGGGTTAACCATGGAACTTATATGCACATGTGCATAGCCCATGGACACAGACAATAGTGTGGTGAGGGCCTGGGGGTGGGGGGGGTGTGGAGAAGGGGATCAATGGGGGAAAGGGGGGACATCTGTAATACTTTCAACAATAAAGATAATTTTTTGAAAGAATGAATAGGAGAGTTCAGCAATATAACCATGTACAAAATATACCAAAAATAATGGTTTTCTCGATGTACCAGCAGTACATCTATGGGAAATAATGAAATATTTTCTTTCATCGTTAAAAAAAAGAAAAGACTTTCTGTATTTGACATCTCTTCTCTGTAACACCCCCTCACACACACCCTGCCCTCCCCACTCTGGTCTGTCCTGCGGCCAGGTTTTGTTCCCCTCGTCCTCCCCTCTTCCCTCCACCCATCCAGCCAGCCCCCTGCTCAGGGAGAGCAGGAGTAGCAGCCACAGGTTTCCCAGCTTCATTCAGAGCAAAGCACATTTTAAAGGCAAATAAGGTTTTTATTTAAGTGACAACGTTTGAGAGTTAAAAACCAGCTCACATCAAAATCAAGACCCGTTGTAAAAATCTTTTAACTCCGTAATGCTGTTTTTGTCTTGTTAGAAATCTGATAGTTTACATGTTCTTTTCTAACGGATTTTGTACAAGGCAGCCATGACGGGTAGAAACCTTTTTCCCCACAGACCCACCCACCACGGACAATACTGAGAGGTACACACAGGAACAGTCAGACGGCGAACAAGACCAGACAGGCTGCCACCACCAAGTAAACAAAGAGAAAGGATGGTGGGGTCCGAGGGTGGGGGTCCCCGTGGGCGAGCCACCCTCCTGTCCTGCCCCTCTTTGGTGTCACCTGCCACTCCTTGCCCCCACGAGAGTGGGGTCCAACTGGTATTTACCCCGACCACCCTCTCGGTTTCTCAGCAAAGAGAGCAGGACCCCGACCAGGCCTCGATGCTTGGACTTGACCCTAAGTATGATTTTTTAAGAAAGTTCCCCCAAACCCAGAGGCAGCAGAAGGAGGGAGGTGACTTCTTGTGGCAGATTAGGTCCCCAGCACACTGGGCACCCACACCCCTGGGGTTCAGCTGGAAAGTTGGTTGTTTAAGGCGGGGTCAGTGTCGAGGCTCCTTCCAGCCCGGGCACCCCTCCCGGGCCGGCTGCACCTGGGCCGGGTGGGAGTGTCCACGCAGAGCCTCCCCACAGCTGCATGCTGCCTCGGGCCCGGCTTTCATTGAGAAATGGGGGCCACGCTTTGCCTGCAGGACACTTCTGGGCATGGTCTGGGTCCAGAGTGGTAAAAGGAGACCCAGAGAGCCCAGCCCCTAGTGATGTCTGAATACTGGGGTGCAAACATGTTTGTGTTCTCTGGCCCAGGGTCCGGGCAGGAGGGCCGCTCATCCAAATGCATGAAAAGTCTCCCTTTTTTTTCATATTTTGTGAAGCCTAAGGGAGGAGTCGAGCTCTTTAGAAAAAAAACCATGATGCCACGCGAGCAGGCCCTGGCTGTGGATGCACCCTGAACCCCCAACAGGGCGAAGGGACAGGCAGGCGGCAGGCGGGCCCTCCAGCAGGACAGCCCCCCAACTGGGAGGAACAAACATGCCACGGAGAAATGGGGCGCTTTGGTCAGGCAGGGAAGTCAGTCCGCTCTCCAGCCCCGGTGGAGCCGGCTCACGGGAGCTGGAGGGATTCGCCAGGAAACAGCCGACTGGGGCCACGGGACGACTTGGGGAGGGGCAGCGGCCCCTCCGGAGAACAACACGAGACTCGGCTCTTTGTTTTTCTCCGACAAAACTGGACGAACAAAATGCAACAAACCACCAGAAGAGAAAGTGCTTATTGGTTACAGTTGCTGTGAAAAGCAGAACTGGAACCGACGATGTCGAGTCTGGTCACTAGACAGAACCACACAGTCACACCCACGAACACGGCGAGCGCGCCTGCCCGCAGCACTCACTGTACACCCTCACATCCCAGGCGTGAGGCTTCGGAGCCCCAATCAGAGCTCCAGAAAGGAAGGGGGCCCTCCCCCTAGGACCCACATCCCAGCTCCCACCCCCCAAATCAGCCTGGACTCAAATTCCCCAGTGCCCGGCATGCCTGCTCCCTCCGGCTCCAAGCCTGGGGTTCTCAGGAAAGGCAGAGGGAATCGGACAGGGGAGAAGGATCTCACGCTAATTATTTTATCATTTGAGAGTAATACATCGGTGCCTTCTGCAAAGAGGAGATGGGGTTTCAGAGAATCAGAATAAGTCTGCCCAAGTTGAGTTCAGGGCTATTTGGGAGGGAAGGGAAGGATTAGGGTTGAGGTGGCTAAGCCACATGAGCTGGTGCCTCATGGACGCCGAGAAAGATGTCATGTGAAGGAGGAATGTGAACTGCCGGGAGGCAGGACCAGAGGGGAAGCCTGGGGTGACCGCCCCTTCCCAGCAGAGTTGCTCGGCGCTGCTGAAATGCAGGTGCAGGATTGAAGGGACGCAGAGAGCTGGCAGACAGGCAGGCTGGGGTGGCAGGAGCGGGCAGACTGGAGAAGACACATTTCTAGTCGAGAGAGCAGGGTTAGGGGCTGGGATCCCTGACCCCTCCAGCCCAGTCGGGCGCCCCGTTTGCCAGTGGTGCCAGCCGCCCCCACCAGCAGCGGCCGGCCATCGGGGAAGACACTGGCCACATGGGAACTGCAAGAGGTAGACATTGAGCAGAAGCGACACTGAGCTGACACAGGTGCCTGCTGTGTATGCAGCTGTCCGGGCGCTGGGGCGGCCTGGCCCGTGACACAGAGAACTGGGGCACCTCAGTGACAGCACGAGGGGCTCAGAGTCTGGCCCGCGCTGCAGGAGACCAATGCCCAGGCCAGGGGCCCAGCAGCACGAGGGCCTGGACAAGCTTCGAGGGGCCCCAGGAGAGCTAAGCCCCACCAACCTCAGGGGATGATCCAGGAGGAAGTTATGGGCACCAAACCAAGCTGAGTGGCAAAGGGGAGGAAAAGGAATACAACAGTTTGAGCCAAAACTACCCCAGAACTCTGGGATCTCAGCTCTACACCTTCCAGGAGCCAAAAGGGAGGAATCAGACTGGGCCGCGCTGGAGAGGAGGAGCCAGATCCATGCCCTCTGGGGCGGTGTCTCTGCTCCTGGGACAGTGGGTGTGGGCATCAGTACAAAACCACCTCTCCACGGAGCAGGGACCCCTCCCCCAGCCCCAGGGGCGTCTCCTAAGCGGTGGGGCAATAGCTGCTCCCTCCCGCCCACTCTGAGTCCTGCTATCCGACTGTGGGGACAGGATGGATCCCTGAGCCCTCTGAGGAGCTCGGGACCTGGAAAGCCTCATGGGGCAGAAGTGCGGGATAGCCTAGGAGTCAAAACACACCCCTCTCCGATCTCAGCTGGGGAGATCCCGCAATTACATAGGAAGGCAGGGCCCAGAGAGGGCAAGCAGCTGGCTCAAGGGCTCACAGCCAGCCCAGCTAGGCCAGAGCCCAAGGCCGCAGCCTCACAGGGGACGGCACCAGGCGGGACTCCAGAAAGAGGAACAACTGCCCTCGGGGCCACAGGAGAGTGGTGAAGGTACTGAGGACAGAAGGCGGGACTTGAACAGCTGCAGGACAGCCTGTCAGCACCAGACCCCTCTCCCCAGGGCTGGGGACAGACACCTGAACATAGCTTGGCCCAGGGGGCACCCTCTCTCTCCCAGAAAGTGGCCGCTTTGCCATAGGAGAGCCAGGCCCAAGGTGGTGACTCAGGATATCAGGCACCAATGCCACTCGCCTCTCCTCCTGCCAGCGGCCCTGGATCCCCGGTCTGGGGGCTTCTCCCTTCGGGGCCTGCCTCGCATGACCTTGGAAGCCCGGAGAACCCAGAAAGATGGTCGCCTTTGTCCAACACTCCAGCTCCGGGCAGGCCTGCACCCACCTCACAGACATCAACCCCGATTAGGGCTTGAAGCCGCAGGCACCGGGGAGGCAGCAGTGGCTGCACTGAGACCCGGGATCTCACCCCCTGGCAGCCGAGGGAGCCCCCCAAGGCCGGGTAGGGCCCCTCCCCCCTGTGGTCAGACACTACTGGACAGACACGGGAGGGAAAAAGCAAGAAAGGGCCTGTGTCCGGGAGAAGGCAGCCGCTCCCGTCCCCGCAGGCAGCCAGGTAAGGGCCCCCTGCTTCGCGCACAGCCCACCCTCAGGGCACCGACTCGAACTTGGGGGTCCCGCGCGCCCAGCTGAGCGCCGACAGGGGCCGCTCGTGGTCCTTGTCGGACTCGGGCTGGCTCTGGGCGCGCTCGGGCTTGGGGTTGGCGGGCGGGTCGGGCTGCTGCACCGACATGGTCCTGCGCAGGTGGTTGCGCTTGCGGAGGAAGTCGGGCTGCGCGTGGAGGCCGAAGCTGCCCTTGCGCAGGACCATCCGCGAGTTGTTCTTCTTGGGGCGCGCGCGGTGGCTGGTCTCCAGGGCGGCCAGGTGGGCGGCGTAGCCCTCGCTCAGGAACTGAGGAGGGGACAGGAGTCAGGCCAGCGGGCAGGCGGGAGCCTGGTCCTGCCCCCACCCCCCAGCGTCACCCTTTATCTGGGACACCCCATCATGGGGTCTCCAGCTCTTCCGTGGAACCTGCAGGAAACTGGACGCTCTTACCATTCAAGGCTCCCGCCCCGCTTTGGACGCCTGAGCCCTCACGTCTATCTGTACCTGTGGGCCTTCCGGATCCCCTGGATCCTTGTCACGTTCACTAAAATCCCAAACTGTACGTCTCTCTCACCATCCGCCTTCTACCCGGGGGCACTTAGTCATGTTCTGGCCCCGTCAACGGCCCCCTTGCCATTCCTTTCCACGGTGTGCTCAGCCTGCTGCTCGCAGTGTGGTCTGTGCACCCGCAGCAGCAGTCTCAGGCCCCACCCCAGACTACAGATCAGAACCTGCATTTAAACAATATCCCCATGTGACCCACGAGGCATTTAGAGTTTGAGATCAGCACTGCTCCAGGAATCCCCACTCAGGGGTCCCTCCACCTTCACACTCAGCATGGCCCCGAAAGCTCACTGCCTTCCCCTCGATCTGCTCCTCAACCTGCTTCTCCCCAAGCCGGAAACAGGATGCCCTCCTTGCCTTTCCCTTCCTGCGTCCCACACATCTGAACTGCCATTCCCGGATCCAGTCCATCTTCCTAAAAGTGCCTCTCAGACCCTCCCACCTCTCTCCCCTTCCACTGCCCTGCCACCTCCTCCCACCTGCCTGCAGCCTCTGAATTGCAAACACTCCACAGACTCAGAGCCCCGACCGGCAAGGCACACGGGCCACACGCGCACTGCCACCCCCGCCCCTCTCCCACTGCCCCCACGTCACACTCGGCCAAGCTGGCACTGGCAGTTCCCAGAATACACACGTTCTCTGTCCCCTCCGACCTTTGCTTTTGCCGCTGCCTCTGTCACTAGTGCTCCTCCAACCGCAGGCCCTTCTAGGACAAGGCCTCACACTTCTGAAAGCCGGCCTTGCTCCGAGTGCAGGGCACCTGTCCTTGTCTGGGGCCCCGCCATTCTGTGCTCCCCCTTCATTCACTGTGGCTCCTGCACACTGCACTGTCCTTGTCTGCACATGCTTCCACCTGCCTACTAGGCTGGATGACATGACACCGATTCCACCTGGGACTCTCCCCTCAACACAGGGCCTGTTTCAAGGCAGGTGTCAGCAGTATTTGCTGAATAAATGAATGAATGAATGAGCAGATGAAGGAATGAGCAAAGAAGGGAACAACCACCTACTCCCCCTTACTCTTTCCCTGGCCCCCACTCCCCGACCCCCAGCCCCAGCCCCGCCTCCACCCACCTGGCACTGGGTTTGGTACTTCTTGGTGGGCCGGCCCACAATGAAGATCTGGGAGGGCGGCAGGCCCAGCACGCTGTAGACGGAGATGTCCTTCGTGGAGCCATAGGCAGCGCTGATCTTGATGAAGCACTGAAACACAGAGCAGCTCATGGAGGGAGAAGGCGGCCCAGTCAACACCCCTCCCAAAAGGATTCCTGGATCTCCATCCCCCAGGAAATTCCTGCTGGGCGGAGGGGGGGGGGCGGGGGGCCTTCTCTGTGCACCGATAGAATCCAAGTCATGGGTCTGCCTTGAAGTGGCCTCCCTTCTCTGCACCTACCCTACACCCCTGGCCCAATACAGGGTTCTGCCTGGAGAAGCCAGGACCACACCGTCAGCTGAGCAGCACTATTCGTAGGTCATGTGACAATGAGGCAAAGTGTTCCTTTGTGGACAAGGAAGTTGAGTGCCAGGTTCCCAGGTTTCCATGTCACAGAGCCAGTCTCGTCTGTCCTCCAACCCTGTGCCATCCCCACCGCACCAGGCTGTAGGCGCCATCTGGCCACTGCCTGGTGCTGGCTGGTCTGATGGCCTCCCCAGAGCCTCATCCAGTCAGAGGATGGCTCAGCTCCTTCTCATTCCAGCATCACTTCCAGATCCTCGCCCACCCCACCAAATTAGACACTGCCACTTTAAGCTCTTCCATGGCTTTAAGTTCTTCCATAGTTTCCCACTGCCCTCAGCAGAGAGTTCACGGTCTGGGCCTGGCTTCTAAGGTTTTCAAGACCTGCCAACCGCAGGTCCCTGAAGAGCTCCAGGACCTCAGCTCCCAACTGGCCTTGCTCTGCCATGACATGGGTGCCTATTAAATGAATAACCAAATGCAGAGACAAGAGGGTAGGCTTGAGGGTCAGGAGATACAGGATGCCAGTCTGCCTCTGAGATCCTGGGCAAGTCGGTGAGCCTCCCCTTCCTCATCTGTCACTGGGGATAACAATACCCACCTGGAAGGACCCACTGAGATCCACGCGAATGAGCTTTGCCAACTGGCCATCCACGTGCACGATGGGAGGTGGTGGGGTAAAGGGATGAGGGCCCACGGGGTTGAGGGAAGGAGTACGGAGGAAAGTCCTGGGGGCCCCATCCCCTCCCGGCCGCAGCCCCGCCCCCGCTGGCCGCTCACCTCCTGCACGAGGTTGCGGAGGAAGATGGCCTTCTGCCGCAGCGGGTCGTGCACCAGCCCGTCCGAGAAGAAGATCATGCCCTGTGGGAAGTTGTGCTGGGACAGCCAGGAAACCACCCGCTGCTTCTGCATGTCCGGCCGCCCCGTGATGTAGAGGATCATGTAGCCCAGGTCTTGCCAGTGCCTGGGGAGAGGGCATTGCAGCATCCAGCCCCACCCAGTCCACCCGCTGCCCAGCGGTCTGCCCCGCCTGCTGCCTTCCTGAGAAGACAGAGGGGCTGCTCCAAGGAGCATTAAGGAAAACCAGGGGGATCCCTAAATCCGTCCTCCCAGTTGAGCCCCTGAGTCCTGGACATCTCTCTTGGGTAGTCCACAGGCACCGCATGCTCACAGCCACTGGTCCCCGACTCCTGCCCTCTCTGCCCATGTCCTTCTCTGCGGTGCTGCCAATGTCATTCAAGTTTCTGGAACCAGAGATAAGCGCCTTTGATTCCTCCCCTTTCCCGTTGCCGCCCTCCTTCCTCCTCCAATCAGGGAGCCAGCCTCTCATTCTACCAGGTCCTACTGCATCCTCCCACTGTAATCCACTTCTCGGCCTTAGCTCAGGCCCCAGGTCTGCCTGGGCCACTGCAGGAGCCTCCTAGCAGGGCCCTTTGCTCCACACACACCCCTCCCTCCCCCCCCACCCCCGCTCCCCCCCCCCCACACACACACACTTCAATCTAACCTGGGCCTGCAACCTTGGGCAGGTTAATTAACCCTAGGGTTTCAGTTTTCACTTCTGTGAAATGGAGATAATATTAGCAACTACCACGCAGGCCATGCTAAGGATGAAATAAATGCATTAACCCCAAATGTCCCTGGCATGCTGTGCTTTATACAGGTGCTGCACTATTAGCCCCTGTACTGTTGCCATGGTGATGTTTGTAAATCACAAATCTAACTTTGCCTAAAAGCCATTCCTGGCTCCCCAGTGCCCTGAGGCCATAAGCCCTCTCCTCACTAGTGGCCTCCATGCTGTGCCCTTGAGCTTGGCCTCCCCCAGTCACAGGAAGCTGCTTGGCTGCCCAGGACCAGCTTGCACTCTCCTGCTGCACACCCTCCCCTAGCAGGCTCAGGGCCCATCCCCTTATGTGCCCATCCTCCAGCTCTCCAGGCCCCTCCTCCCGAAGCCTTCCCTGCTTCCCAGGCAGAATCAGTCTCTTCTCTGTGCTCACACAGCACAGTGGGACCAGCGCTCCCGCTCTGAGCGCTCCGCTGCCTCGAATGGCATCCTGGCTGGGAGAAGTCAGCTAAGCGCAGACCTGTTTGCGAGCTTCGGGGGCACTAGCCACCCACTGGCCACTACAGATGGGGGGTTTCCAGACCTGGCAGGTGACCAAAGAGATTGGGGAGGTTTTGTAACAATGCACGGCCCCGGTGTCACCCCCAGAGAGTCTGGTTAGACTGACGTGGGATTCAGTGATCTGTGATGACAAAAAGCAGCTTCTGATGGGCAGCAAGGTTTGGGGAGCACCGAGTGGCCCCAGGAGCCCGCGGGAAAGAGGGGCGAGCACCAGAAGGATCCCCAGAGAGGAAGGACCAACCACAGCCTCCCTTCCCCAGCTGTGGGATACTGACGGGGAGGCTTTGGAGAAGATGTTCAAGGGAATAAACGGCACAGCCTTGTACGGGGAAGTTGCCCCCTGAGATGCCATTGAGCCTGTCCATGACCTGTTCCCACAGTGCATCATGAGGTCAGCAGTCTCCTAGGAGCCAGGATAGTATTCTCTCCCCAAAGCGGTCACTGCTACTGGGGTGAGGCCGGACAGTCACTATCCCAACACCAAGGACTCCCAGGACCCAGGACCTGTTCCACTCTTGGGGTTCTGGTCACTTGGAGTCCTGGATCAGTGCCTCCCACCCGTGACTGGATTCCCCACGGGACCGTGAGATTCCTCCTCCTAGGATCTCTCCTCATCAGTGCCCAGCCCAGGGCCTGGCTTAGGGAAGGGAGACGGGGGTGGAGGGAGGCAGGGAGGGCGGGAGGAACGAAAGTGGTGCCCCTTTTGCTTTTCTATTGTCAAAACCCTCTGCACCCCTCTCAGCAATGCAATGGCCCTGGGGGGCTGCGTTTCCAGCCACACTCCTGCCCTGTCCTAATCTGGTCTCCAAAATCCAACCCTGAACTTGTCCCACCTGCCCCCACACATGCTCTGCTCTTCCCTGTCCTTGTCACCTTGTGTCCTCCTCTTGGCCTATCTAAATCAATCGGTTTTCTTTCTTTCTTTCTTTCTTTCTTTCTTTCTTTCTTTCTTTCTTTCTTTCTTTCTTTCTTTTTTGCCTTTTTTCACTTGATAATATTTGTACAATGGCATGGATTGAAAAAATATATATACATCCATCCTTTAGGGGCTATCTCAAATGCCACCTCTCCCAGGAAGCCTACTCTGCTTTCTCCAACCAGCTGGAATAGATCCCATCTCTCAACTAGCCCTTTGGGTAGCTAGTCTCGAAAGACGGCCCCTCAGTGAGCCATGGTTGCCAGCATTCACATGTATGTGGTCCCATCCCCTTGAATCTGGGCTGATCCTGCGACTCGCTGATAACCAACAGGATGCAGTGGGAAGGACTCTGTGCCTCCAAGGCTGGGCCATAAGAAGATTTGCAGCTTCCACCTGGATCTGGGACCCAGGGGGAGCCAGCCACCCTGTACAATGTCTGAGTAGCCTGAGGCCTCCAGGGCAGCAGCCACGGGGAGAAACACAGCCCGCAGACAAGGAGCAGCAGATGCAGTCAGGAGCCAGCCCTCCTGAACATCCGGCCCAGGGGAGCCTTCAGAAGGCCCCCGGCCCAGACCACCTTCTGACTGAAATTGCTAGAGACACCTCACATGAGAACCTTGCAAAAGAACCCAACAGTCCCAAGAACCATGAGACAGAATAATAATTATTATTTTAAGCAGCTAAGTTTGGAGCCATTTGTTACACAGCAGGAAGTCATCAGTACACACGGATTTATCCTGATTTGGGTCAGAATGTGAGAGACCAGGCCCGATTCCCTGCAGAGAACGCTCAGATAGAGTTAGAGTAAGCGGAGGAGGGAGGCAGGGCGGGCGGGGGTCTGGGGTCTAGAATGCTGCAGGAAGTATCTGAGGGATGCAGGTAAATTAACACTGGAGGTGAAGTCAAGGCTTCGGGCTCCTGGCCCCGAGGCCAGTGGGATTCCTGGAGGAAACCAGAAAAAGCTTATCTCTCTCCCCCAGGTCTGCTGGCTCCTGCCCCCAGGGGACACGTCCCTTGCAGGGAAGTAGCACTCACCGGACAACGTCCACTGCCCCCGGCCGGACCTTGGGGTCACTTCCCATGATGGACACGCTGGCGGCAAAGGACCCGTCGATGCTGAATACCACGCACTCCATGCCACGGGGCAGCACCGTGAGGTAGCTCATCGCACAGGTCTGGTCGCCCCTGCAAAGCACCACTGGTGGTCAGCCATGTGCTCGGGTCAGGGGTAAGCCGGCGGCCAGAAGTCAGCGTGCCACTGGGTCAGAGCTCATTCTGGGGCCAGAGAAATCTGACGATGACCTCGGCCATTTTCTCTCTCCGCTCAGGCAGGGATGAGGCCCAAAACAGAGCACCCAAGGGCCCCATCTTCCAGAGAGGCTCGGCTGGAAGGGCCAGGGCAGTGGTCCTGGGTCTCACCTGACCACCATCTTCACGGGGTACACGCCCACCCCCAGGCGCCGGGGCCTCGGCACGCTGTAGGTGATCCGGCCGCTGCTGTTGGTGATCTCCGTGTCCAGGTGCACCCAGCGGCCCGAGGACGGCTCCGCCATCACCAGGATGTCCACCTGCAGGCAGCGAGGGGGCCAGGGAACGCACTGAGACTGGGGGGCTGCAGGCTTGGCTGGGGGGCTCAGCCAGGGAGCTCTCTGCCAAAACAGGACTCCGGGGCTTGGGGTCCTGCCGGATGTTTCCTGGTTCCTACCACCCTCTCTCTCCACTGCAGCCACGACTGGCCCCTCAGATGCGCCAAGTTCACCCCTGCTTCCTGGCTTGCCCCTCCTCCCCCCGACCTCTCCAGGCAGGGTGTCTCCCAGCTCAGCCTCCCAAAGCCCTCAGCCCACATGCCATGTGGTACCACAAGGCACCTGGTGCACGTGTGGGCAGCCAAGGGGGGGATGCCCAGCCTCTGTACCTTCTCTCCCGTCAGAGCCACCATGTCCAGGGGCCCGTACATGAACCGCCCCACCAGGACCTGGGGGCCGTCTTCAGCGGCAATCACGTCGTTGGCCCGGTGGTTGGCAGTGACGTTCTGCAAGGACAGAAACCAGCTCAGCTTTTGCATAAGGGGCTGGAGGGACATGGGCCTGCTACTGCCTTCCTATGAGCCCCCATTAGAGCTCCCCAGGCGCGTTCGCACGAGAAAAACAGACCCTAAGACCCTAACGCTGTCCCCATCGAGCGCTGGGGTCCCCAGAGAGGAGCATCCTATGCTCTCTATTGTTCCCACGGCCCCGAGGAACCGCCAGTCCTCACAGCCTGGCATCCTCCTAGTTTCCTAGGCTGGAAACTGCCAGTCCACTCACTTCGCTTCTTCCTTCCACCCCTCTGCTCACACCCCACAGCCATTCATCGTCTGTCTCTTCTTAGTGAAGATGTACAAGAGCAGAGAGGATCGTGTGCCTGACACCAGCTCCTCCGACGAGCCACTGGCGGCCACTCTGGTGCCCTTCCCTTGCTGAGTCCCCACCCCACCCCACCCCACCCCACCCCACCCACCCCAGAGGGTCCGGAGCCATCCCGGACATCGCATCATTCTATCTGCAGCCATCCCAACATCCCACCCTTCTTCCCTCCTGGTGTCA